ATTGAATGGTTAAAAGAGTCAGTTTTATTTTGGGGTCTTTAGTAAGAAATTTTAGGGACATTCGACGGGATTTACATGGTTACGGGATTTAAATACAACATCATCATTCTTCTGTATGCTCCAACTTTTATCGATTTACATTGTGAACTTCCGCTTGACATGGTAGACATTTTGCATTGACCATGGAAAAGACACTAATAAACTTTTCACCATTCATTGTATAAATATACTAATTATAAAAAAGTGAATGTTGTTTCATGTCAAAACATCAATATAAAATCGCGTTTCTAGTTTACCTTGACCAAACGTTGTTATATTTGGGTCGGAAAAAAGCATAAACGGACAAATAAAAATATTGTGCTGATAATCGAACTATTCTTTTCTGCCTGGTCTGATAATAGTCTAACATCCATATATTTATGAACCGAACTCTCTTAATCTGACTTATTTAGCAACCGCGACGCGTAAGAATAGAACTGTTTTTAGAACAACAAGCAATAATTAATTGAAGACCATCTTTACTATAAAATGACTAAATTGATTCCAGAGAAGAGAAAGCATCAAAAATAACAAATAGGATCTGTCTGAATTTTTTTGGTTGCAAAGTGAAGCCAACTATGCTTGATGCAAATCGAAGTATTGGTCTATTTCGAGAAATCAACATCCAATACAAAACGAGATGTGTTAAACTAAAATTGCAGACATTTATTATTGTTTGAGGAGGGGTTTGATACAATTATGTCAATGCTTCTTGGTTAATATTGCGGGTACTACCAGTTGTTTGCATCAGTTAAAGTAAATATCTTTTATTAAAATCCGCTAGAATGCATTGCCCCGACCTTTAAATTGTTTCGCCATTTTTGTATATCTGAAATACTTTAGCGTTAATGTAATGATGTCAGGTAAACGTCAATCTTTTTCCCGTATTTTCATTAATATTCGACATTTAATCAGGCTTCATCAATTAGAATGTACTGATCGCAATTTCTCAACACCATATTTTTGGCGCTAGTCTATAGATATAACGCTCGGTCACATTCGCGTAATTTTAATGAGCGTTACAGTACATCAGATTCCCATGGAGAGATGGGAAATCAATAAGTGATCGATAAGTGATTACTTTAACATAATCAATGCAGAGATATTCCCCTGTTACAGTATTATTAATCATTAATATCATGATAATCTTTATAGTACGAATATCTAATAATGTCTCTGTAAATCATCGCATTAGTCAGATCATGATCGTCTGTCATTACTATCTTTGGCCATGACTATCTGTTATATTACCATTATTGTTACAGACCTACACATGATTGTCAAGTGTATGTTAAATGTGTAACCGGACCTGTCATCATATACCCCTAATCGAAAAGTCTTGGCCCGCTGCTTTTCATCAAATGCCTTCTGATGGCCTGAAGTAACGTCACGATCGGAAATAATAGTCGGTCAATGCAAACGTGCGCGAGTAATCAAATACGTGTGAATCGTTTGCTATTGAAGTTTATTTATTCAACCGACCATTGCGTACCTAACATCATTTGTTTTTAACAAATCATTGTAAATGAAGAGTTCTTAAGGCATTATGATAAATTTTGATATACAACATCCAAATATAACTCAATTAGATCTCATATGATATTTCCGTCTCCGCATGTAATGTTCCGGCCATAAAGAACTGACCTTTTCGTCTTTTCTGGACTGGATTACTTCATATAGCATTCTGGTGCTATTTGTCATCAACAAAGAGAGTTGTTTTGAGCGTTCGATTTTTCTAGTGAACAAATAATAAGATGAATTAGACACACGGACTTGATGCGTTAAATTTTTCATTCATACACAAATGACATATTATCGCTAATCGTCAATTAAACACGTAATAGGCATGAATACGTGTAGTACGCAAATGTAATTATTCTAATTTTGATACTAATACGCTCTGAATTTAATCGGAACTGGTCGACGCAGTTCGGAATAAAAAGCATGTTGGTTCGATGTTGTATTAACTACGTAAATCTTTGATTAGATGCCGTTTATTCCGATTGGTAAAACATGGTCTCATGCATTATCTAAAACCTTTTTTTTTAAAAAATTCTTGTGATTAATAAAATGCGCTGTATTATAAATAGATATCTCTGCACTAAAGAACAACAGAGATTGGGCTGTTTTTTCTCTTTTCACTCTCTTTTTGTTTGCTTTGTTTTTTTTTAAAAAAAAATGGCCCTTTTCAGTATACTTTTTTCTTCCATAGTAAGTTACGAATCAATTTTAATTCTCCTAGTATTACTCATTGTATATACATGTTACTTTTATCTTACTTATTTTACACGAGAAAATCCATTACCCGGCCCTGTTCCATTACCTTTTGTTGGTAATCTTGCAGATAGAGGCTTTCACAATTTTATCGAATACGCGGAACAAATGCGAAACAAATACGGGGATACGTTCGAAATGTATTTTGGATCAACAAGATACATCATGTTAAACAAATACGAACACATACATAAAATGTTTGATTCTTCGTTGAAATCAAAGTACACAAGACATATTCCATATTTTGCTGGGTTAGAAGAGCTGGGCATAGCGGGAAAGGGAGTTGCGCTGAATCATAACATAAACGCATGGAAATATAATCGTCACTTTTTTTCACGAGCACTGCTTACACCGACGTTTACAAAAAACTCGGTTATCTGGACACAAAACTTGGTCGAGGACTTGATGAAGTTTTGGAAAGAAGCATCTGATGATAATGGTTGCCTTGAAACCGACATTGTGGAATGGGCTCGCCGATTTACAACAGATTCTACAACCCTTTTCACAACCGGAACAAGAATACATTCCATGGAAGCACACTATTACGAACTAATGGCTTTACATAATAAGAAGAAACCAAAAAAAGCTTCGTATAATAATATAACCGATGCTACTAAATTTGTAAATAGCATTGAAACTTTTGTCGAAGGAGTCTATTTTTTTATGGTTGTTTCTCCGTGGCTTCGAAAATGTTTGCCTTCTCTCAGTACTACAAGTAAACATTATTTAGAAAATCGTGATTGGTTGTTTAATAACATCGACAAACTTATTAAGAGAAGAAGAAAAGAAATTGAATATACTCCTCGGAAACAGCCGCTTAGAATTGATATGTTGACTTGTATGTTGACTACAAATACCGATCGTGATATTTGCGAAATCAAGCCTATTGATAAAGAGCATGCAAGACCTATGACCAATGAAGAAGTTCGTGGAATTTTATGGGAAGCATATGTTGCTGGGATTGATGTATGTTTTTGTTTAACCAAATTTTTTGAGCAAAATTAGTTATTAAATTAATTAACATTTAATTTTTTCAAAAATTTCAGACTGCCAATCTATTTACATTCATCGTTTATTACCTGGCAAAATATCCTGATGTATTAAAACGACTACGAGATGAATTAGATGGATTCTTTGAGAAACTGGGCGATTGTCGGCTCGATATTGAAAATCTATCAGAATTGGTTTACACAGAAGCAGTTATAAAAGAAGTGGCTCGAATTTTTGCACCTGCCCCTTATACTGCACGCAATAGCACCGCGGAAGACATTCTGGAAGGTCACGTATGGCCTGAAGGCACACAATATATTATAAATATACAGGCATTGAATTTAAATGAAGAATATTGGGACAAACCTAAACAATTCAACCCTGATAGGTGGCTCGATAACACAGAAAGTGAAAAATTAATGCCATTTGTGGCGTTTGGTGGAGGTCGCAGAGTCTGTCCTGGCAGAAAGTTGGCATTCATACAGCTCAAGAGTAAGGTCGCGTTGATTTACCACAAATTGGATATCACGTTGATTGATAAAAATGCACCCGTAAAAACCAAATTTGTGCTTATGAGAAGTTTTCATGACTTGTTTGTTCAAATTAAACCAAGAAAGGTTTAAACCGTTTTATAAATTGAAAAATAAGAATTCAACTAAGCCAAATTTAAGCATTTAAGATTATTAGTTATGTAGCATTATTTATTATAGCATATAGTTATCACAGTTATAAATTCATTGTATAAAAAAAGCGCGTATTATAAAATGATTGTATCTAATAGTTGCTAAATTTTAGTTTTTTTTTTGTAAAATTTCAACATATTTATATCACATGGAGCGGGCTGTTCACAGCCGTTAACAGTATAATATTCTCGTACTGGTGACTCCTAAATTAAAAGAAAACATTTCCTTATTAAAGCTACTTAACACTACGATAATCTTGTTTATAGTACATTTCGTATTGAGAATTTATTAACATGATCTGTAAGACGTACCACTTGCATGACTTCATTTTCCTTAATGGACCTGAATTGCACGTTTGCTAGTAACGATAACTTAAACTTATGATTTGCAATCCAGTCGCCATTGTTTATTTGTTCTGATATCACATTCTATTCTCTCATATGGTAATAAATACTTTGTGCTACTGTAGAATTTCAATTGGGCGGAATTCCCGATCAATACCCGTTCCAATTTGTGCCGATCCCTGATTGGCGGATTAAAATCACATGATGGGAACCAAATTTGCAGTTCTATTACTATCTGTTCCCATCCTCATTCCACACACGTTTTATTAATAAGCGTAAAAAAATAAAAGATTGCGTTGCGCAAAAGGTTCTAACGGCTTTTAGAAATATATATATTTTTTGTAAAGAATAACACTTGAAATCTTGGAGTGAAAGAAAAACAATGGAACGGGGAACGCGAAATTTGTCCTCAATTCTCACCGATTTTTGTCGTCGATCGGAATTGAACAAGCCTAGTAAGTAACTGGATAAATATATCTCCATCGCATTTTCCAATGGGTACGTTCACCGAATCCAATAATAAATAAATGCGTGGCAAACCTTTCTCTTAATGACATTTCGGCAATCAATTAGATAGAAGCATGAGAACTGTTGCCCATGTCGCAAAGTTATCACCAGTCAAATTGTCTCAAGGAGAAATAATAAACGCAGTAAAAAAATTAGCGAACGATTGACGGCTCTTGACATTTTTTCATGAGGCAAAGAACTGTTCACTCGTGACATTCAACAGATCAGACACACTCAACACAGACTGGCAATATAATTATAGTTAAAAAAGTCGAATTCACGACTTCTGTCGTTCAAATACGACAGTCTTGAGTAAATTTTGCTCATTGTTTTTCCTAGTGGGAGTGTTAACTGACAATGTGAAAGGAAGAAAAATAAATCAGAAGAGAAGATAAGTATATTGAAGGAAGTAATGGTAATACAAATGTTCGGTGCTATGATCTTTTATTGGCAACATACGTGTCACGCTGATCACGTGTTAATAAATCGCTGCAATTAACTTGAAACAACGCCTATTTCTAACAATTTCACAATGGGTCTAAAGAGAAGACAACTGAGAAAGCTCCCAAGTACAAACAAAGTCTCGAAAGGTAAGCCACTCTCAGGTGGCAGTTAATAATAATGCTGCCGCGATAATCCATTAATTTCCACACCTACTGTCATTGTGCCAATTTATTTCTATTTCGATCCAGTTTGCAATACTGGGCTGATGGTTAAGTGCACTCCATTCTCCTTTTGATGTTATGAAATCTTTTGATCGACTGTTCTTGTTCTCCCTACCCCTCATCAGACACTTCTTCCACAACTGTGCAACCACAAGCCAATTGGACCATTTTCTATGAGACTGTGGGTCTAGGACATGAAATTAAAACCAAAGTTGATGTATCTTCAGGATCAGATATCAGCGAGCTCAAGGAGGTGATTAATTTTTGCTTTTTTACTTATTATTATGAGTTCATTTCCTACTTTTTCCAACTTTTCTGTTTTTTCCTCTACTTTCTTTATTTTATCTGCTGTTTTCTTATTTAAATCATCTCTTACTATTACCTCTTTATTTAGTTCTTTCAAACTATCAATAAAACCAAGGTGAAGTTTGACATCTCTCTTCATTTTTTTAATAACTCTAATGACAGTTTGAACTAGATTTCCCTTTTTGATATTGTTTAGTAATTCTTGTGGTTCATCTTT